TACATGCCTAACTGAAAATGTTAAAAGTTTACACATAAAATACACATAATAGTCAAATTCGCATTGCGATATTCAAATGAATGTGTAATAAGTGATAACAACTGAACAGATCATAGCAATGTTCAAACTCAAGTTACTAATACATGCCTAACTGAAAATGTTAAAAGTTTACACATAATACAACGTTTGCATTTAAAAACCACCTAAGTTAATAGTCCCAAAAGGTGAAGCCGGTTGTGATTGGGATTTTAATTTTGATTGCGATTTTGATTGCCTTTTTCTTGACACCATATGAGCTTTGGATTTTGATGAGGATCCATATTTTGGTAGAGGAAAAGATGATTGTGATGGCACTGGTGATCCACATGTCAACCTTGTATGACCACTTTCCTTGCACCGACTACATGTCGATCTCTTCTTCTCTTCACCCTTAGACGGTATACGATCGTGACTTTTTGGTCGGACATGTAGCCTTCTGTCCATGGCTGGTGGCAAAACTATTTGTAAGTCATCTGGTATGTCCCACTCAGAATGATGTGGAATAGGGTAGATAATCTCGGCATAAGTCTGTCGATATACTTCTGTAGTGTAGCAATCCATAGCGTATGCGCTTGAATCATCTTGGTTTAGATGAAGAGCAACTTTTATAACATGCCCACACGGATAACCAGATGTTTTCCATTTCATACAACTACACGTCTTTGCATTTAGATCGACAAGCCCATTTAAGTTATTATCCAGTACTTCAAACAAAGTGTTTGAACATGGTTCAACTCTCCATGACGTTGACTTCACAACATGTTTTGTTATCTTTTTTTCAGTCCATGGTGTAACACGATGTTCCAATGTTCTTGTAAATTTAAATAACTAATACTTAGTAAAATATATGATAAGTTACGAATTTAAAGAAATAATACCTACATGGTTTCTTTTCTTGTAGTACCACTGTTGAATAGAGGCTCGAAAAAACTCCATTAACATAGTAATGGGTAATTTTCGGGAATGACGACTTAGAGCGTTGATTGATTCTGCACTATTAGACATCATGAAACCATATCTTGCTCCAAGTTGATATACTCTTGACCACCTTTCAAACCCGACATCTTCTATTATTTGAGTACACTGAGGCAAAACACGTTTTAAACAATTTATATGCTTATTAAAATCCACTTCCCGATAAGCTTTTACAGCCTTCCAGTATGTCCATTTGTGATTTTTTATACCAGCAGACCTTGATTTTAGATTTCTATATAAATGAACACCAGAAAGTCCATGAAAAGCATATGGGAAACACCTTCTAACAGCGTTGTCAATTGAGTTTGCCCTATCAAATATGATTGTCAGATTGCTAATAGGACCTATGTAATCCCTAAGATGCCACATAAACCATGTCCATGAATCAGAGGTTTCAGATTTGCCAACCCCGTAAGCTATTGGCAGTATCCCATTGTTAGCATCCATGGCTACTGCTAATAAGTTTACTCCAAGGTATCGACCTTTTAAATGTACTCCGTCAACTATAATAACTGGGCGCATGCAAGTAATAAACGAACGAATCTACAAAATCATATACACAAGAAATATAATCATTTAAATGTGAAGTGCATGTAACTAACAAAAATGAGTCAACAAAATTATATTGATTTACTAACCGCAGCACCAATGGCGATAAACAACAACTCAAAGTGTCCATCTCTATCTGTTTTGATATGAGTTACCGACCCATGATTTTTCAACTTTAAATATTGAAAATAAGCCAGCAGTTGGGAAAACGATGATTCTGGAGACCCCCTTAACAATTCCAAGGCATAACATTTGGCTCTCCAAGCTTGAGAATATGAGATACTAATCTTGAACCGAGCATTCATGTCAGTCATAATTTCATGTCCCCGATATACCCTGCCATTTAAAAACATTAACTCAGCCAGAAAACCACCCAACACCTTTTTGTTTGCCTGTCTATGGTGAGAAAAAACTTGGGTTCTTGAACATGTATGTTTATCAATAAAAGTCCTAACTTGAAATATTTCACAATCTTTTATCCTCTTTGCAATCATACGCCACGTACAATTTTTGTCAATCATACACCTTGTTTCGAAACGACCTTTGCTTGATTTGTTAACTTTTAGTTGATAGCCATCTTCCACACATTTCGTATACAAAGCTATCTTCAAGTCTTCCTTTGTATCAAAACAATCATCTTTCTTGATACGAATAATTTTTGTGTAACAATCAACTGCTATTTTTACCAACTCTTCTTCCGGTATCTGAAGTAATTCTGGCATATTCCAGTTATACTCTCGTGGCATTTTCTTCGGGGACTTTTCTTCGGGGATTTCTTCTTCTTCTTTTTCTTCTTCTTCTTTTTCTTCTTCAGGGTTATATGAATTACAGAATGGATGTTCAACATGTTCATTCACAGTCGTAACTTCCTCCTTATTATCATCAACAACATCTTCCTCGGCAGCGGCTGTTTCATCATAAAAATTCGGGTATTGACCAATATCAAAATCATTACACGCAGGGTCTATTTCTTCTTCTGAAACATCATAAAAATCCGAGTATTGACCAAGATCAAAGTCCGGGTATTGACCAAGATCAAATTTTGAATACCGACTAGTACTCACAATTTTTTCTGTTGGCTCATCATCGTCTAACTGATTAATACGAAAACCGAAATTTGGTGTTGAAAGTTGATTGGGATTGGGATTTGGATTAGGGAAAGGTTGTGGGTTTTGAGATTGTGTTTGTATTGGAAATGTGGTGAAACAAAATTTACTTGGTGGTGAAATTGTGGTGGAACCATTAAATTTTGAGCACCATAAACTGGGGTTGAAAAACTTAGTTGATTACTACCTGCTACTGACCCAACTTCACTACTTCTAGGTTCAACAACATACAATGTAACATCATCTTGCGAAACACTAATGTAAGCAATGAATCGTTCAACATCTTCATTGTCGGTTAACAAATAAACTTTACCTTTTCTCTGATAAGATAGCCTAAATCCACTTAAGGGCTCTAAATTCAATTTATTTACAACACGTAACATTAGAGTTTCATAAGTTAACTTTTTTAATGATAGTTTTAGTTGAAGATTCATGGGTAAAGGCATATATTGTAAAACACCATGAACATTCTCCCATGACCCTCCAAAACACAAATCTATCCAAACATGATCAACATTAGATGATTTCATTATTGTAAATTAATTTACTAAACAAACGAGCTGCGAAACTAAAACCTGTTGCCGGATGGGGAAGGATGTCGTTGGATATAGGAACGGATGTCGCCGGAGAGAGTGATAGATGGAGATGAAATGAGTTGCGATTTAGGGATTTAGGTTATGAGTTGCTTCTGCTGCGTAGTTATATACCCAAAACATTTGTGTTGCGAAACTAAAACCTGTTGCGAATTTGAAATTCAGTGTTGCGACAGTCAGAATCGCGTTGCGATAGTCATAATCGCGTTACGATTTACATATTCGCATTGCGATTTACATATTCGCAACGCGAATTTGAAAAATCGCAATGCGATAGTCAGAATCGCGTTGCGAATCTGGAAACTGATTTACGATACCGGTGATCGCGTTGCGAATTATCGATCGCATTGCGATTTAGTTGGTCATTTTGGCAAATCCAAAAAAGTTGATTAAAATCGTATATTATAAGACATTTTTTGTCACTGAGATTATTTTCTCTTTAAATAAAACCAAGTGAACTAAACCATTTTCATTGAGTAAAATATTTTAAGGGGAAATTCATTCATTTTTAAAATTCATCAAAATAAAAGGATCGTAATTTAAATTTAGAATTTAAACCAATTCTGGGCGCTATAGGGTGTTAATCATTCCCCATGCGTAATTGACTCTCGCATCCTAAAAAATGAATTTCTGGTGACACGCACACCAATTTTTATCTTTAAAATGATTTTTTTTAATTGTTTTAAAATATATTTTTAAATATTCGATATGCCTAACCCAAATATCAATGACGATTTCAAATTTCAAATTAAATCGAAATCCATTTTTTTAAATAACGTAATAATTATTTTTAAATTTGATTTAAAAAAAAATGATTACGACACTCACGTTACTAAGTTATGTGTTGGTTAAGTGATTTATACGATGGCGTGGTCGGCTTTGCGTTTTCAACTCTCTTTCTTGCATGTTAGTTGTTTTCAATTATATATATTTTAAAAATATTTTAAAAACTATATATTATATATATTCAAAATATTTTAAAAATTATATATTATATAGTTTTCAAAATGTTTTAAAAACCGATATATTATATTTTCAAAATGTTTTAAAAAACCATATTATATATATATTTCAAAAAACGATTTTTAAAAAAAAATTATACGGTATTAAAAAACCTCGAACAAAAATGAATGTCTACACCTAACCCAAAGATCGATGATTTCAAATTTCAAATTAAATCGAAATCTATTTTTTAAATAAAGTAATAATTATTTTTAAATTTGATTTTTCAAAAAAATGATTACGACACTCACGTTACTAAGTTGTGTTGGTTAAGTGATTTATTCGATCCCTTGGTCCGCTTTGCGTTTTCAACTCTCTTTCTTGCATATTGGTTGCTTTTGCTTAAATTAAAAAAATATATATATAATTATTCAATTATAGAAGATTTTGAATATATTGAATGGTTTTGATTAAAAGAAATTTTGTTTTTTACTTAAAGTGAACTTTTCAAAACCTATCAATTTGAATCAATTCTTAGAAAATATTATAAACATGTATTATCTTGTAATCATTTTAAATTATTCAAAAAAATTATAGAAGATTTTAATTTCATTATTGGTTTATTAATTTTTTTGATTATATTATTTAATTATTTAAATTACGTCAATTAAATCATTTTTATGAATATCTGATAGAAAAATTAACTTGATAATTACTATAATTGATATAATTACATATTTAATCTTTATTACTTATATATACTATTAATTTACCGAAGAATCTTGAAATGTTTAAATCAAGTAAAGTGTACCACAAAATGATGTTGATTGTTGAACTTTTCAAAGACTCCATTTGTTTCAATAGAAACCCAACATGAACATGAGCAAAGAGTCCAATACCCCTATTAGCATAAAGAGGATGGCAATACCAATCATCTCATCCCTTCTCCTCTCCATCAACCTCAACCTTTCCTCAGCCTCTGCCGCATCTCTTTGGGTTGCCCTTAGTGACTCGGTCATCATCCTTTTCTCTTCTATCATCTTTGCCAATCCACTTTCCCTTCTCTTAATTCGAACAATTTCCTTTGCTCTCTGTATATTCAAAATCACAAATAAAGAATCTAACGAATGACGATAATGGTAAAAGATAATGTTGTAACTTTTCTTTTTTCAAAAAAAAAAATTGTATATACGATCCATCAAAATCAACTATTGCACACCACATGTGTACCTGAATGCTGGATTTGTACAATTTTTTCCCAACGGCTAATTTATTCCTCTTGCATTTGTTCACACTGCCAATAAATAAGAATTCTCATATTAAATAATGGACAACTGTTTTGTTATTTCTTTCTAGCAAATATAACAAAAATTTCCTACACACCTTTGAGATTTGTGATGGCTTCGAGCCAAGACTAAGCTTTTGTTTTTACTAATTTCTCGTCTGACCTGTTGGAAAAATTGAGTGTGTCAAATATTATATTAAAAAAGGAAAAGATATTCATGTGCTTATGGTTTTGATTTAACCTTGATTTTTTAAAGTTATAATTGAAATTATTAATAATATATATGTATGGCTATAATCATAATCAACTAATATAATAAAAAATAAACTATAATTATAGCTAATACTTTTATATAATTACAGTCAAAAGTAATAATTGAAATTTATTAATAAAAATTAATCAATAATTGTAATAAAAAATTATTCCATAGCCCCAAGAAGCGAAACCTAGCGCTGTTTTTCTTTCTTTTTTTTTAGATTATTAGGCTCCATGGTGGGGTTAGGGATGACCAACGGCCAAGAACCTAGCAGTAATGGATACGCTCCGATGGTGACGATTAGCAGAGAAGACGTGGGCATCGCTGGTCAAGATTTAGACAATTACGATAAACACAACATAATTAAAAAGGTGATGACAATCGCTAATTAAATCTCTGGTCAGTAGGGTGACCACAGCATGAGCAGAAGAGACGAAAACCCGAGTCAACAGTTGACTCCAGATTCAAGAGATTCGAGGAACCATATTCAGTATCCTATTGGTGAATTTGGAATTCCGGGCGACAGCAGGCCATGACTCGATTTCGAAACAGATCGGACGCCTAGGAGCGCAATTCAGAGAAGCTTTTGGGATGATTTTTTGTTTGGGGGGAGAAATCGACAAAAGAGAAAAGAAGAGGTAATAAGACAGCAGTTTCAAAGACAAAAAAATCTCACCGGCGCCATCTTGAACTGAGAAATAATAGATAGCTATGAGGTACGGAGAGTCGAGGGGACAGGTGGGTGGGTTTTATAGGTAAATTGTTATTTGAGCACCTCTTTTGCCGACCATGGCCTTATCTACAAATCAGGTCTGCTCTTAGCAAAACACTGACGCGGTATAACAAATCCACCAACCCTTGGCATATATCAGATGAACCTTAAGAAAAAGGGGGGAAGTATCCTATATTAATTACTTTTTTTTTTTGGATTTTTCCTTTTAATTTAATATTTTCAATTAAAATTATAAAACATGCCTAAGGCACGAATTAACTTACCTTAGTGGTTAAAGAAATCATTGTTATTCTTAGAGGTCACGGGTTCGAGCACCAATGATTACAGTATGGTGATTGAACGTTTATTGTCAAATGGTTGAAAGTATTTAGAACAGTTATTACTTTGTAATCACTTTAACTTAATAAAAAATTAAAATTAAAAAACTTTATTTGATTATAATTATTAAATTAAATTATAAATTTTATTATATTCTAATATAAACGTACCTCAAACATAATATATATTTTTAATTATATAATTTTTATTTTAAATATTGTCATTAATTTTTAATTATAAATGAACCAATCTACCTCAATAATTAAAGAATGATTGTTATCACTAGAAGTCACAGGTTCAAAGATATTGTATGTGGAATATATTTTAATATCTATCATATATGAGGAAGTGTTACATATGAATTTTTTATAAAATTAAAAAATCAATTATAAATATCATTAAATTTTGGAAATTTATAAATTATAAGTTACTGTTTAAGTTTTTTATTTTTTAAAACAATTGAAAATTTTTCAAATTTTCTATATATTTTTTTCATAATAAATATTAATACCACTTGGGGGTTTCTTATCGCTTCATGTGGGATTTCTTATTGAGCCATGACATCTTAACAAAATGACATTAATTTTGGACTAACAGATATAACTGTTTGCAACTTCAAGCACCAAAATGTTAATTTTCTAAAATATTAATGTGGCAAAATTGAACAACTTTGAAGTCATATTTATCATTATAAAAATATCTTTTCCTCATGCATTCTATCAAAATTATCCCTTTGATCCTTATATTATTATTTTTCTTAATTTCACCTATATTATATTTGTTTACATGTTTATCCCTCCTGTTTAAACATGTAAATTTGCTTGGATGGGCATTGAAAAAAATAGATTTTTCATTAGGGGTGGTTCAAACTTTATTTTTCCAAATATGAGGAATCCTACAGTGAACAACCCGAGCACCTAACATTTTATAGTTTTTCATGACCGGTGCACCATGACTAACCTCTCTCTCTACTGCAGTTATATCTGGCCGGAGTACTATGGTTGGCCTCTTGAAGACGCCAAAGATGAGTACGTCAGATGTTGCCAGAGACGAAGAGTTGAAGATGACGGGTGCTTCGGTCGTATTTCGAAAGATGTCATGTGCTTTGCTCGACTTCTGACGTTCAATATAGCATTCACTATACTTCAAAAAATAAAATTTTCACTCCCCCATTTCAACTTTTTTTCAAAGCTCCATCCAAGAATTTTTTTCGTTAGAACAAAATATGACATGAGCAATGATAATCACATGTAATATTTGTTGAGAGAATCATTTTTTCAATTTTTTCATGGGGTATAAATATCTCGATTATGTGATGGTTAGTGTCAAACTTGAGCTCACCATGCTCGTTAATAGGCTGGTAGACTATGTAGATATATCTATCAATTATCGAATTTGCTTTTGTCAAAGATCGCGTCAAAGACATAAAAATATGGAGTCAAAATAGCAATTCAGACGGAGAATAGTTTCAGAGATGATGTATCCACAAAAATTTTGGAGGATATGTTTAGAGCACGGAGTTATCTATGGATCTTTATTGACAAGACATGATAGTTTTCGGAGGGTCTTCTCTAGAGTTGTCTCCCCTTAGTCGATATCTCCGGATAGACACCTTTACTAACCAGAGCTGCCCAAGGAATCAATATCATCCAGGTACATGAGTGTCATAGTTTTTGAGCCAGATACAATGCATAGAACATATCTCTAACAGAACCATACGATATATTAGAGCAAAATTTAAGACCTGAAAACTAGATCTATTTAGCCTACTAACCTACGAGTAGTGATAGTTACCATATATATAACACCACCAGCTAGGGCAACTATAAATAACGATTGAGAAGAGATCCTCTTTACTTTCTTCTCATTCAATCTCATTTTTTTCTCTTTATGCTTTCATCTCTCTCACATAGAAATATCGATCAACGAACATTATTTCACATATTACGGTTCTTAATTTAATCTAAAACAAGAAAATCACCAACTATTGACTAAATAAATTTATTCACATTAATAAATTTATTTTATTATAATTGCAAAAGAAGTAGAGTTCTAGACAAATGATGGTACAATAATTAAACTAAATTAAAAAATATAGATTAAATTGAAAATAAGATTAAAGTAGGAAAAATGTCACGCCTCGATTTTAGGGCTAGAATTTTATTCGACATTTTGAGGACTAAGGTGGGACTTTTAAGAAATTTAGAAATTTTTTATGTGAATTTATGGAAGTTTTAAAGGACTAAATATAAATGTTAAAGTTTGAAATCTATATTAAAAGGGAATTATGGAACTTATGGACGAAGCTGAAATGGGTTGGAGCTAGAAGACAAGAAGGTCAAACTATGTATAGTTTGATGACCTTGAAGGTAATTTGTCCATTTTATTTGGAAGGGTTATGTTTAAGACAAAAAGATATATTTTTTATTATGATAGGTTTTGAAACAATGACCAAAAGAAGTTTAGCAAAGGCTTTACAAAATTGGCTAGGCAATTGTTGTGATAAACAATAATAATAATAAATATAAAAGTCAATGTTTTTAAAGATCTAGAGAATTCTGAAATTTTCATCTTTCTTCAAACCTTTCAACCAACCTCTTCAACTGTTGAAGCTCTGACGTCCACTCTCTGACAGTTTGTGGTGTGCATCATCACTACCGCCAACACCTTCTCCTTCTCGCGACCAAAGCCTTACCCTTTACTCACCGTGAAATAACGTCAAACGTCATAAGAATTACCCCAAAAAATAACTCGAAAACTAAGGTTTCCCTCAATTTTTCATCGTTTCATCACCGATTTACAAGTTGTGATCGACACCATCAGTATCACCAGCTTTGGAGCATTTTTGGGCATCGACTGGTGGCTTTGGTGTCAAAATCGCTACAATCATTGTGAATAGTAAAGGGGATGAAATTCAGACGTTTGAGAAAACCTATTTCTGCCCTTTATCATCATAAAACAACATTAACAAGTGACTCCAAATTCCTCAGTGATGAGTCTGGAAAGTTTGGTGTCATTTCGACGTTTGTCACCGTCGCATGTGCCCTACACGTCGTTCCCTATGTGTGGGTTTTTCATCTAGGAGCTTTTAGAAAATTGGTATGGATTACCATAATTGGTCCAGACCTCCCGAATCAATCCAGTCTAGTTCGAGCCAAGCTGATCACCTAAGTTGAGCTGAGCCACTGTTAATCGATGATGATTGATCATCACTGGCTGGTCGTTGATTGTCATTGACTTTTCCGGAACACTTCTCTTGATTTTTTTTGATGCATTGAGTGGTGTAACACCCTCAGACCGATGTGGGTGACTCGATCTGATCCGAGGTATCACATCAAGGCCACCTGAGTGGCCTACAGTAAAAATTCAAGAAAACTTTAAAATTTTTGTTAATCCATTTAAAATTGTAAAATAATTTATAGATAAAATACAAGTTCAGAAAATCATTTATATATTAAAATAAAATCCACTAATATCCAGTAGTAACACAAGTTTCAAACTTGAATATAAAAACATAACACAACCTACATGCCTCCTAATTACATGCACCGTACCACGCAAGCAATGTCGGTGGAACTCCTTTACTGAAGTCGGTAAAAGTACATGATCAAACTCTTTAACCTAAAATGGTAAGTAACCGAGTGAGCTTTGGAAAGCTTAGTAATACAGAACTACCAAATGAATACCGTAGGTCATCAGGTATATTGTAAAGCATAACTTCCTTAACGGGATAGACGTCATCAGATTCTAACGATGAATTCAAATTCCATTAGCTGAGTCTTCAGTTACAAATATGAATTTACGGTCTGAAGAAAGTATTCAGAGAGAAACATATTCAGAAGATTTAATTAGGGAGTCTAGTGTGTTCCAACAAAATAGAGAAATGTATACAAATCCTTAAAAAACATTAGTAGTTTAATACATATTTTAAAACCACAATAATACCCTCCAACCGAACACCGATATGAAATTCCCCATAACTGCATCCATAAGGACTTACCCTAGGACCATTGGGCATAGATGTCAACCTAAGGGAGCACATTGGGTCCATAAGGTCTTACCCTAGCCGAAGCATAGGTGCCCACCTGAGGGTGTGCCCTTAGGCCCATTAGGACTTACCCAATGCAAAAGCAGAGGATCTACCCTAAAGGAGTACCTTAGGGTCCATAAGATCTTACCAATAGGCTCATTGGGCCCAGGAGCTCACCCAAGGGTCGCCTTAGGTCCATAAGAAATTACCAGCTTGATCAGTGTTGAACATGCATGAGGAATTACCAGCTTGATTGGAGCTGAACCTACATACTCCAGAATCCTACCCAAACAATATCCTAATAATTGGTTCATATAGTAAACAGTAGATTCCATAATCCATAAATTAGGAACGATTATATTTTCCAGTGAAAACATGTAACTAAAGAACACATATCATGTAGCCGTAGTTCATAAACAGCAAATCGATACATTAATAAATTCAAATTTTCAGAAAATTACATTTTAAAATAGGTAAAAAAAATTATATGGCACATAAAGAACACACTGAGGATCCAGTTATTTTTCAGAGGTATTTAACAATTATCAAGCGGGGGAAACACAAAACTTCTACAAACTAATTGAATTTCAGAAACGAGATCCTTATAAAAAAGGGGTTTGATAGCTAATTGATTCATCAGTCATTCAAGAAGTGATTTATCAAGATCATACAGTATTCAGATATATC